TAGAGACACATGACATTTGTTTTTATACTTGGTATAGAAAGAGACACATTCCATTTGTTTATACATGGTATAGATAGAGACACATGACATTTGTTTTTATACTTGGTATAGTTAGAGACACATGACATTTGTTTTTTTACTTGGTATAGATATAGACACATGACATTTGGTTTTATACTTGGTATAGATAGAGACACATGACATTTGTTTTTATACTTGTATAGATAGAGACACATGACATTTGTTTTTATACTTGGTATATATAGAGACACATGACATTTGTTTTTATACTTGGTATAGATAGAGACACATGACATTTTTTATACTTGGTATAGATAGAGACACATGACATTTGTTTTTATACTTGGTATAGATAGAGACACATGACATTTTTTATACTTGGTATAGATAGAGACACATTACATTTGTTTTTATACTTGGTATAGATAGAGACACATGACATTTGTTTTTATACTTGATATAGATAGAGACACATGAAAGGGGTTTACATACTTGATAGAGATATAGACACTAACATGGGTTTATATACTTAATTTTGATAGAGACACATGACATTTGTCTTTATACTTGATATAGATAGAGACACATGACATTTGTCTTTATACTTGGTATAGATAGAGACACATGACATTTGTCTTTATACTTGATATAGATAGAGACACATGACATGGTTTTATATGCTTGATAGCGATATAGACACATGACATGTGTTTTTATGCTTGATATAGATAGAGACCCATTTTCATTATTTGTAGCTGGATTCTTTTGATAATTTTATATATGTAAAAAATGTGTCCGTTCAAATAAAAACACGTTGGTATATAACAATTACAACTTTGTAATTTATAAAGAACTTTAACATTAAATTTAAAAATGAGTACCCACAATAACCATGACTTTGTTTTTATTAACTGACATAAGTTTTGAATGCTTACTTTGGTTTATGACTGTACATTATGCTCAATAAATAATATGACGTTTTAATTTGTAGATAGAAAATCTTTAAGCAAAAATAAAAATTTTAATGACAACACACAGCTCGAGTACGTTTAGAATATAGTTTATTTTCGGTACGTACCTACTGTTGTTGTGCCTGATATTATTATATATATGCTGGAGCTTTTGTTCTTTGTTTAGATCTGTGTGTTCTTTGTTTAGATCTATGTGTTATTTGTTTAGATCTATGTGTTCTTTTAAACAATAAAAGACATGTCAACATGCGGCAAGGGTGCCACTTGAAAAAAAAAATGGGCGTGGTGGGGGGGGAGGAGGGGAGAAAAATCAGCCAAAAATATTTTTTGTTTGTTTTGTAATTTCAATGGTAATCTTGATGATATAAAAATAGTTTTGTTTTTTCAATGGTAATCTTGATGATATAAAAATAGTTTTGTTTTTTCAATGGTAATCTTGATGATATAAAAATAGTTTTGTTTTTTCAATGGTAATCTTGATGATATAAAAATAGTTTTGTTTTTTCAATGGTAATCTTGATGATATAAAAATAGTTTTGTTTTTTCAATGGTAATCTTGATGATATAAAAATAGTTTTGTTTTTTCAATGGTAATCTTGATGATATAAAAATAGTTTTGTTTTTTCAATGGTAATCTTGATGATATAAAAATAGTTTTGTTTTTTCAATGGTAATCTTGATGATATAAAAATAGTTTTGTTTTTTCAATGGTAATCTTGATGATATAAAATAGTCTTGTTTTTTCAATGGTAATCTTGATGATATAAAAATAGTTTTGTTTTTTCAATGGTAATCTTGATGATATAAAAATAGTTTTGTTTTTTCAATGGTAATCTTGATGATATAAAATAGTCTTGTTTTTTCAATGGTAATCTTGATGATATAAAAATAGTTTTGTTTTTTTCAATGGTAATCTTGATAATATAAAAATAGTTTTGCTTTTTCAATGGTAATCTTGATAATATAAAATAGTTTTGTCATTTCAATGGTAATCTTGATGATATAAAAATAGTTCTCACGTTTACCAGGAACACAAGATCAATTCCTAACGTCGGCGCCCAAGTTGTCCTTAATGCGCCTCTGCACCGTTATGAAATAGGTTGAAGACATCAAGACATTAAGTCTTAGAAAGACATGGATGGACGTTAATGATAGGTTGAAGACATCAAGACATTAAGTCTTAGAAAGACATGGATGGACGTTAATAATAGGTTGAAGACATCAAGACATTAAGTCTTAGAAAGACATGGATGGACGTTAATAATAGGTTGAAGACATCAAGACATTAAGTCTTAGAAAGACATGGATGGACGTTAATGATAGGTTGAAGACCTCAAGAAAGTAAGTCTTAGAAAGACATGGATGGACGTTAATGATAGGTTGAAGACCTCAAGAAAGTAAGTCTTAGAAAGACATGGATGGACGTTAATGATAGGTTGAAGACCTCAAGAAAGTAAGTCTTAGAAAGACATGGATGGACGTTAATGATAGGTTGAAGACCTCAAGAAAGTAAGTCTTAGAAAGACATGGATGGACGTTACTGATAGGTTCAAGACCTCAAGAAAGTAAGTCTTAGAAAGGTTGGATGGACGTTAATGATAGGTTGAAGACATCAAGACATTAAGTCTTAGAAAGACATGGATGGACGTTACTGATAGGTTGAAGACCTCAAGAAAGTAAGTCTTAGAAAGACATGGATGGACGTTAATGATAGGTTGAAGACCTCAAGACATTAAGTCTTAGAAAGACATGGATGGACGTTAATGATAGGTTGAAGACCTCAAGAAAGTAAGTCTTAGAAAGACATGGATGGACGTTACTGATAGGTTGAAGACCTCAAGAAAGTAAGTCTTAGAAAGACATGGATGGACGTTAATGATAGGTTGAAGACATCAAGAAAGTAAGTCTTAGAAAGACATGTATGGACGTTACTGATAGGTTGAAGACCTCAAGAAAGTAAGTCTTAGAAAGACATGGATGGACGTTAATGATAGGTTGAAGACCTCAAGAAAGTAAGTCTTAGAAAGACATGGATGGACGTTAATGATAGGTTGAAGACATCAAGAAAGTAAGTCTTAGAAAGACATGGATGGACGTTAATGATAGGTTGAAGACCTCAAGAAAGTAAGTCTTAGAAAGACATGGATGGACGTTAATGATAGGTTGAAGACCTCAAGAAAGTAAGTCTTAGAAAGACATGGATGGACGTTAATGATAGGTTGAAGACCTCAAGAAAGTAAGTCTTAGAAAGACATGGATGGACGTTAATGATAGGTTGAAGACATCAAGAAAGTAAGTCTTAGAAAGACATGGATGGACGTTAATGATAGGTTGAAGACCTCAAGAAAGTAAGAACAACCCACTGATTTTCTTGGGTTTTAAAGAACAAGGGAGGAGTCTTTTCTATGCACTGGATATACTGTTAATGTTCTCGTACAATCATTTTTCTAAACCTTCAGATTACCTTGCAAATACTTGGAAAACGAGTTTTCATTGCTGATGAAGTTAATTTGGTTTATGGTTTTGTTAAGGAATTTCCACAAAAAATGTTATCTCCATCAAGGAGATTAGGTCAGCCAACACCACTGAAGATAAGTGGATATCAGCTCAACGTTTCTAAAAAAAACTTGTATAAGGTAACTGTATCTCCCAATGCCCCCGACTGAAAGGACTAGGTCCGACTTAGTGTGAATCATAACTCAAACACGACTTCTGGGTCTTTCCGCTCAGTGGTTCAAGCGTATGAAATCCCATTCCTATTTGTTAACATGACTATACAAATTGAAACGTTGTGTCTATCATGGTCTCTAACGCTTTTTGGTGACACTAGCAAGATCGATCTGGCTTCGCGTAGTGCTTTATCGATCAGCCAATATTTAATTTGTAAAATAAAAAAAAAAAGTATACCAGAATATATAAAATGTCTCAAGGACTTTATATATATATCCCTCTCTCTCTCTCCCTGTATATATATATTTCTCTGTCTTTGTCTGCAAGCAATTTTACTTTACATATCTATATAATTGCATATATGTCATTATAAATTATAGGTTAATTTTAGACGTTAAAAACAAACAAATAAACAAACCACTTAATATTGAATGACTCCAGGTTTTAAAAATAATATGATCAAGTTCCTGGGGCACAAGTTTCTAGCCCATCCAAAAAGGTGACTGGTGGGGAAGGGGTGACCTCGAATGAGGTCTGCGAATGGATTTCTGTGGCGTCGCGGGTGAAGCAATAAACTAACAAAAGAATTGATTTTTTAAATAGCTTTCTTTTTTTTTTTTTTAAGAGGCGCCTTCCTCAAAAGTCGACTTTAAAAGCACTAAACCGTCTAAGATCATTAAAATATTCTTAAAATGCATTGCGCATGCAAGTCTGTGAAGAAATATTTTTAAAATTTACTAAAAGTAAAACAAATTTTAAGTTCCGTCTACATTCAATTCGAATGCTTGGGCTACATAATGAGCTCCTCTACATTTTGCAGTGCGTTTACACTCGTCTTTTTAAAGAATTTATATAGGCCATTACTATTACATTGTCGTAATGGTACTTTGCTTATAAACAAATTATGTGGTCGTGACATGAAAATACTTGAAGACCAGTATGCTATAGCTACTTGGCTTAATATTTAATTCCATGCAGTGCATCATATTGTACAGGGCCTGGCCTATTTATAACGACAATTTTTGATAATTTGTGACTATTCTTTTTTTAAATTTAAAGCAAAAAGAAAATGTGTCCTAAAAGTTTGTACCCGGGATTTCCAGTGATTGGAGGATTTTCCCGGTGATACTTCAGTTTATTATAAACCGTCCGGGGCCCCGTGATCCCGTTTGAGAAATCCTTCTAGGAGCACACACATAAGTAAGGAAAATACTTTTTTTTTTTTTTGGGAAGCTTTTAAAATATTGAATATCCAGAAAAATATGTCCATTTGAAGTGCGGGATTTCCCGCAATATCCTTTTTTTTTTTTACGAGGTTTTCCCGTTCTTACTTGTTCACTTTTTTTTTTTAAAACACATTCGAAAGGCACCAGTGGCAGGAAAACGCTTCACCAAAGGTTTTTTACTATTTTAAAATGACTTTTAATGACTGCAGACTATTTATATTATTTTGAAGGCTAATGCCATTAACTACTAAATCTTTTACTTTAAGACTCTATTTATACTTACACTTATAATGACTTATACTCTTGTACTCTGGAACTGGAATTTTAAATAGAGTTTCTCATGTCTCGGGTTTTCGCGTATCGCGGGAAAACGGGAGACAATGAAAACGTTTTGGCAAATATATGTTTCTATTCTTATTCTTTTCTTTGATATCTATATCTATATCTATATATATATATATATATATATATATTGTAAATTTATACTTAAATCAATTCTGTTTTGTTTTAGTTGTACTGATAACGTCATTTTCCGAAAAGTGTGCATTTGTATTCTGTGCTACCACTACCATTATTAAAGCTGAAATTATATAGTTTTATGTACACCAATTGTTTGCGTCTCATTAATCTGTCTACGTGAAAGCTCTATCGCAGTCAGTGTTACTTTCAGGCAGCGCTCTCGGGGAGGGGGTGGTGTCAAGTGGAGCAGTGTATGCAACAACAAAACGAAATTATATTTTATTTTAAAAAAACTAGCAAATTGTCACTTTTTAAACGATTAAACAAAATAGTCACTGGTGCCATTAACCGATTACAATTAGTTGAATCTGTGAACTATCACTATGCTCGATATACTTAATGATCCCAAAATTTTTAGGCATATCTTGTTCGAAGCTTACACTTAAACTGTTCGATTATAAATATCGTAATCGTACTGTTTCGTAAATTGGCCGCACCCGATTATGTGCCGAAGCCTTACTTTAGGTTGTTCAAATATATCGGGGTATTTCGATTATAATATTATTTTTGGCAGCTTCAAAAGTTTAAAGACATTAATAGAACGGGGTGCGCTCTTTTGGGGCTATTGCACCTAAATTGTGGAACAGTTTGCTTAAATCTTTGAGGGACGATATTGAGAACTATAAAAAGCCATTTAAGAACAATTTAAAGACCTTTTTCTTAAGGTTTTAGGACATCAGAGCGCTGTGAACAGCCTAAAATAGCATGGACACAAGCACTTTAAAAGTACTCAATCAACAACATCATACGTTGAGCTAGAACAAAAAAAATGAAAACTAAACAAAATTGATATATTTTTCAAACAAAAATGAAGAATTTAACGGGCTCATACAAATAATTGCGACATTATAATTATATAATTGAGTGGCATAATGGCATGTCGTTTTCAGCCACTAAAAACAGCAATTTTAATCATGCACGCGTCTTTTTTTCGATACTCCGGTAAAAACCAGAAGTTATCACTGACACTGCGCTTAGGGTGAGACAACTCTTGCCAAATCCATGCCTTTAACTACACATTTACATTACATTTCATATAACAGCCTACCCACTATGGCCCATACTGTACAAAAATTGGGGTCAGGATATAAATACAGATATTTGTATTACATTTCTAAGGCTATTTTCACTCTACTCTATTGACAGGTGAAGTATTCTGAGAGAGCGCGAAGGGGAAAAAAGACTTACTTTAGCTATGGACGGATGCCTTTGCTAGTACTTTCTTTAGTAAGATGCCCTTGCTTGCTAACAAACTTAGCATTGTCATACTCAGAAGAGTTTCCACACATTGCGGCTCTTTTCTCAACTGAAAGAAAATAAACATGCAGTCATTTCAATATCAAGACCCAGACAGTTATCATTCATTAGGCCTATATATCTATCTGGGGTATGCAGCACATATATTTCCACATAGATCCCATTTTATATGTCTAAAAGTAACACATAATTAATTCATATAAAGGGTATGGTTTGTTAGAGATTCAATAAGTTAGACCACATACAGCTACGATCGAATTACAGATACAGACAGTAGCCGAATTTGCCGCCAAAAAAAAGCAACTTTGACTTTGATGTCATGTTAATAATTATAGAACTATATTCAAAATAGAATAACATAACCATAAAAATATAAAGTCATGGCACCTTCCTAGCTTGATTTTAAATGCCAACAGAAAGGAAGTAACCATCATAACCGTCACATGACGGACCGAATATAGACCTCACGCGACCAGCCGGGTCCGAATAGCCATTTTGTCTAAGCCACACTGATAATAAAAATGTATAGCAAAAGCAAGCCCAGCAGAGCCGTGGCTTGACTTTTTGAGGCCCCCCTGCCACTTTACGGTTTTGTCCTCCTCCTCTTTGCATTCAAAGTTAATAATTAAAAGCCCTAAAATACCTGAGGTCCTATGGGTTGCAGGGCGAAGCACGATGACACATACGTTTTTAATTAGCATCTCTCCCGCTGCCCTCCAATTACGTGCAGAATGTTGCGAAACTAATTTCGCGTATTGTTCTAAAATGCTTTCTTGGATTTTAAATGACCAAACATACTCTGGCTTCTAAAAAGTTTCAAGGGGCGAGAATAACATGGGGCACAAAGAATACCCCCAAGGGCGCGCCACAACTGGAATGAATTTAGTTCATGTTGGCCTGGGGCGGAGTTAGAGATATTCTTGATAATTAGTATGGCTAATTTTTGCGCTTCCCATCCTAAAGTCTGAAATGCCACCTAAAAAAGAGTCCGATAGAAACATCAAATTTTAGGAATATGCCAAAATACATCCTTTCATTTTGAATTCGCCAAAGAGTCTTGGATGCCCTCAATTTCTGCTCATCTCTTCCCGTTCGTTGATCTGTGTGACAGCACGGGGTTGAATCTAAGGCTTTGCCTATATGATTAGTCTGGAGTCAATTCAGTTTATGTATGTCACCTATGTATGTGCCATAATGCCTCTCCCAGAAGTTAAAAAAAAATTAATTCCACCGATGAAAAGAAACACTGAATTCAGGTACACCACGAAAATGCACGTCTCGATTTTAAAATAATCAAAATTGTTCTGGGGAGGTGACTCCACAGACCCTATTTACGCACTCTCTTTCAAGATACAAACTCTTCAGCTACCCGAAAATGCCGCCCCTCTATATCATTGAAAATTGGCATATTGGTGGACCACCCCATTCGGTCCACTTTCTACGCCTCTGACAGAAGCGTAGCTAGAGATTTTGATGACAGGCGATAAGATTCATTTTAATCACCCCTACCCCGCCTCAACGCTGAAACTCATTATTTGTATCAATTAAATACCACCCAAAGCCCATTGTGCGCTCCCGCAAGTCTGGCGCTAGGGGAGATCTGTCCCCTTTGCCCCCTCAGCTACGCATCCGGCCACTGGCACTGCGCCCCAGCCTCGAAAATCTGAAAGAAAAACTGATCACAGTACAACACACTTAAAATAAGTTAATTTTCTTTAATTAAGATTTACCATTTGGTGTACAAGGTTAGCAATGAAAACAAAGAAGTGTGCAGATTTTAAGCTCATACAGGTACACTTTCTTATACGCAAAAACAATTTATTCTAAAGATATAAAAGTTCTTTGTCTTCTTTGTTGATTTCGCTCCCCCTTCTAGTAGTGCCCTCGCACCGTGTCCAGACACACCTTCAAGTAGCCCCCTCGCACCATGTCACGACACACCTTCTACAGCCCCCTCGCACCGTGTCCAGACACACCTTCTAGTAGCCCCCTCGCAACATGTCCAGACACAACTTCTAGTAGTGCCCTCGCACCGTGTCCAGACACACCTTCTAGTAGCCCCCTCGCACCGTGTCATGACACACCTTCTAGTTGCCCCCTCGCACCAGATCCTGACACACCTCGCAACATGTCCAGACACAACTTCTAGTAGTGCCCTCGCACCGTGTCCAGACACACCTTCTAGTAGCCCCCTCGCACCGTGTCATGACACACCTTCTAGTTGCCCCCTCGCACCATGTCCAGACACACCTTCTAGTAGCCTCCTCACACCTTAACTTGACACACCTTCAAGTAGCCTCCTCACCTCACACCGTAGCTTGACACACCTTCTACTAGCCTCCTCGCACAGTGTCCTGACACACTTTCTAGTAGCCCCCTCACACCGTAGCTTGACACACCTTCTTGTAGCAGCATCGCAGTGTGTCTTAACACATCTTCGGAACACCTCTTCAAATGTCCATAGAGATAATTACATAACTGGGTAGGAAAAAAACCAACTTTATTTACAAAAAAGAAAAAAAAACACACACCTCACCCTGCTCAAAGATAGAAAAACAACAGCAACAACAATTGACCAACATAAACAAATATATGTGTTTTCTATGATTCAAGGTGCTGGTAGACATCATTGTAAGCCTGTACAAAGATGGGTAACGAACTTGAAAAAGCTGCCAAGGAGGCGGCTGAAACGATGGGAAGACCATCCTCACGGACGGCACCGAGTTTGGAGGATCTGCACAAGATGCAGGAACAGATGAAAAAACTTTTCGATCAGGCAGGTGGCGATGACGATGATGAGGATAAAGGATCCCCGGGAGTCTCTTCCAAGAAGAGCGTTAACGACCTCATCGGGAGACTAAACGATCCAGCTTTCAAAAGCAGGATACCGGTAGACGGAAATAAAAACTTGCTGCAGAAACTCGCCGAGAATACACAGCATGTAAATATTATAGATTCTGTAGTGGACGCCACTCCCCTGATGGTGTGTGCCGTGCATGGGAGGAAAGAAGATGTCATTCGAATTATCCAGAGGGGCGCGACAGTCGATATGCGGAACCTTTCCGGTTATACGGCATTGCTGATAGCGAGTGCTGCCGGGAAGGAAGAAGTTGTAGAAATTCTTGCCAAGAAGACTACGGATATTAACATGACAGATTATGAAGGAGACACCGCGCTACACTTGGCCATAATGGGTGGACATGAAGGAGTTGCTCGTGATTTGTTGGACAACGGTGCAGATTTTAAGATCAAAAATGACAATGGCAGTGACGCCTTGAGTCTAGCAGCACAAAAAGGCCTGAAGACGACTGTGAAACTTCTCATTGACAAAGGAGCCGATGTCAACACCAGAGACATACGCCAATGGACACCTCTGATGAACTGTGCCGTAAGGAACCATTATGAAGTGGCTGAGCTACTGATTGAGAAGGGAGCGAATGTGAACGCCGTACAAATATCCGGAGGGACAGCTCTTGAAATCTGTGCAGACCATGGCCACGTGGAGACGATGAGAGTCTTGCTGAAAAACAAAGCGGAGATTAATCACGCAAACAAATTAGGATTTACTTCCCTTTTGGTTGCAGCCATCAAAAGCCGAAAATTGGCTGTGAAAAAATTATTAAAATACGGAGCTGATGTAAACATTACGGGAAAAGATGGAAGGTCCCCACTGTTTGTCAGTGCACTGGATGGCAATAAAAGCATTGTTGAAAGTCTACTGAAGTTAAAAGCGGATCCCAACATATCCGACAATGACGGAGACACGCCTTTGATGTGCGCATGTCAACATGACCACATTGACATTGTGGAAATGTTGCTGGATGCTGGGGCTGATGACATGATGTTTAACATGGAATATAGCAGCGCTTTGTCAGCAGCTGTCCAAAAAAACCGGAAACGGATTGTCAAACTGTTGCTGTCAAGACAACCGAGCCCATACCCGAACATAAATTTCAGGGCTAAGAATGGGATGGGACTCCTGCATCAAGCGTGTCAAACTGGCAATAAAGACATTGTCAAAATGCTCATAGATCATGGGGCCGATGTCAATTTAATGGGACCCAAAGGTCAAACAGCTCTCTGCAACAGTGCTGACAATGGACACACAGAGGTGGTGAAAACACTTCTTAACGCCGGGGCACTGATCGATGTGTGTGATGACGATGGAGATAGTCCTTTGCTTAATGCCTCAGGTAAAGGGCATAAAAATATTATCAAAGATTTGCTGAACGCTGGTGCAAAAGTTAACGTCTCCAATGCCAAAGGTCAAACACCTTTAATGCAGGCTGCGTATGGGGGACATTTAGACATCGTTGAACTGCTTGTCGATAAAGGCGCTGATGTAAACGCCATTGAGAGAAAAGGGTGGAATGCTCTGATGCTGACGTCACAATTCGGTCACACGCCCACTGCAACATTTCTCATAGACAAGGGAACGAACGTTCACAACCAATCTAAAGCTGGGGTCACTAACCTTGACATCAGCGCTGGACACGGTCACACTGAAATTGTACAAGCCCTTATAAGTAAGGGAGTAACTGTAGATGCCACAGATGAAGATGGGTCAACTCCTTTGATAAAAGCAGCGAAAGAAGGACACATTCGTTCAGTAAATGTTTTGATAGACAATAAGGCCGATGTCAATTACACCAACTCAAACGGACAGTCTCCTTTACTTCTGAGCACGCACGAAGGCCACGCTGAAGTTGTCGACATTCTCCTCCAAGCTGGTGCTGATGTCAATAAAACAGATGATGAAGGAATCCCGCCATTGCATCTTGCCGCGCTGAAAGGTCACAGGCTTATCGTGGAGGCGCTGATCAACGCTGGTGCTCGGGTGGATGCGATCAGTAAGAACAAGAGGACGGTGTTGATGAACGCAGCCAACCACGGAGACCCTGAAATTGTGAGGATCTTGATCAAAGCAGGAGCCAGTGTGAACCAGTGCGGGGACAACGGCTGGACACCACTGATGCAATGTGGGCAGTTTGGGAAAACCGAGTGTATGAGGGTTCTTTTGGAGAATGGAGCAAACACAGAATCCCAAGACACCAAAGGTGATACAGTTTTTCATATCTGCTCTGCAAACGGTCACAAAGACGCGGTTCGCTTGCTTTTAGAGAACAAAGAAAAGGCCACATTAGCCAACAACAGTGGTTTCACACCTTTGATGCTGGCAAGTCACAATGGGCATGCTGAGATTGTCCACTATTTGTTACGTGACCAGGAAGTCCTTGAGAACCTGAACATGAAAGAATATGAGAGAGGCGACACGGCTTTGATTATTGCTGCAAGGAAAGGGAAGGCGGACATCGCCAGGGCGCTGATCACAGGGGGCGCTGACGTCAACGCCACCAACAAACATGGCAGTACGTCACTCAACATCAGCTCACAGTATGGGCACAAGCCTGTTGTGGATGATCTGCTAGAGAAGAAAGCTGATGTTGGTCTTGCCGATTCTGACGGAGACACTCCCCTGTTATCGTGTGCACCCAACGGGCACCACCTGGTCGTACAAGCCCTTATAAAGGCAGGGGCGGACATCAACAAAAGGAACAGCAACGGGAAAACAGCTCTGGTGTTGGCAGCGGAAAACGGCCACCGCCAGACAGTGGTGACTCTTCTTGACCACAAAGATGACATGAAGACGGAAGATTTTCAGCGTGCCATGTCAGCTGCCTTAAAGCATAACCATCCAGATATCTCTGAGAAGATCAAGGAAACAACAGGACTAGAGTTGGACACAGGTGAGATCACACATTTTTTTCAAAGCAATGTGTTTATGGCGGAATGATCCAGACTAAAAAATTTGGTTCTAACATAACATACTAGACGATCGAAGCTTATAAATCAAACCTTAGTTGTTGTTTTTTTTAAAAGGCCCTCTTTTTTTTTCTTTCTTTTTTTAATTGGTATCGGTGAGAATATTACATCTCGGCTTAATAGTTTATTTCTACCTAATCATTAGTTGTAAGGAAAGACAACAAAGGAAAGAACACATGGTATAAAATTAATTTTTAATGAATGTTTCTAGACCTGGAACAGGTGCCACTCAACCCAACAATCATCACGACAATCTATGGCTTTGGAAGCATGTTTGACCAAATAGCCAGAGAAGCCAAGTGAGTGATTCATAGAAGTAAAGTCCCTTCCCGTATGTCTCTGTTTTCTAATTTTGTTAAGAATATATATATATATATATATATATATATATATATATATATATATATATAAAATATGATAAAAAATAATAAATAAAGACTTATAAAAACAGTCTATGTATATATGATGAGTCTCATGATATTCAATATGATGTGTCTAATATATATAAAATATGATAACAAATAATAAATAACGACTTATGAAACCAGTCTATGTTCATATGATGAGTCTCATGCCATTCAATATGATGTGTCTAATGCCATTCAATATGATGTTTCTAATGCCATTCATTGTGATGTGTCTAATGCCATTCATTGTGATGTGTCTAATGCCCTTCATTGTGATGTGCCTAATGCTATTCATTATGATGTTCTAATGCTTTTTATTGTGATATTTCTAATGCCATTCATTGTGATGTGCCTAATGCCATTCATTGTAATGTGCCTAATGCCATTCATTGTAAAGTGCCTAATGCCATTCATTATGATGTGTCTAATACCATTCATTGTGATGTGCCTAATGCCATTCATTATGATGTGTCTAATGCCTTTCATTGTGATGTGCCTAATGCCATTCATTATGGTGTGTCTAATACCATTCATTGTGATGTGCCTAATGCTATTCATTGTGATGTGCCTAATGCCATTCATTGTGATGTGCCTAATGCCATTCATTGTGATGTGTCTAATGTCATTCATTGTGATGTGTTTAATGCCACTCATTGTAATGTTCTAATACCATTCATTATGATGTGTCTAATGCCATTCATTGTAATGTGTCTAATGCCATTCATTGTGATGTGTCTAATGCCATTCATTATGATGTGTCTGATGCCTTTCATTTCATTGTGAAGTGTCTAATGCCATTCATTGTGATATGTCTAATGCCATTCATTATGATGTGTCTAATGCCTTTCATTGTGATGTGTCTAATGCCATTCATTATGATGTGTCTAATGCCTTTCATTGTGATGTGTCTAATGCCCTTCATTATGATGTGTCTAATACCATTCATTGTGATGTGCCTAATGCTATTCATTGTGATGTGCCTAATGCTATTCATTGTGATGTGCCTAATGCCATTCATTGTGATGTGTCTAATGTCATTCATTGTGATGTGTTTAATGCCACTCATTGTAATGTTCTAATACCATTCATTATGATGTGTCTAATGCCATTCATTGTAATGTGTCTAATGCCATTCATTGTGATGTGTCTAATGCCATTCATTATGATGTGTCTGATGCCATTCATTTCATTGTGAAGTGTCTAATGCCATTCATTGTTATGTGCCTAATGCCATTCATTGTGATGTGCCTAATGCCATTCATTGTGATGTGCCTAATGCCATTCATTGTGATGTGTCTAATGCCATTCATTATGATGTGTCTAATGACATTCATTATGATGTGTCTAATGCCATTCATTATGATGTGTCTAAAGCCTTTCATTGTGATGTGCCTAATGCCATTCATTGTGATGTGTCTAAAGCCATTCATTGTGATGTGCCTAATGCCACTCATTGTGATGTGTCTAATGCCATTCATTATGATGTGTCTAATGCCTTTCATTGTGATGTGTCTAATGCCATTCATTGTGATATGTCTAATGCCATTCATTATGATGTGTCTAATGCCTTTTATTGTGATGTGTCTAATGCCATTCATTATGATGTGTCTAATGCCTTTCATTGTGATGTGTCTAATGCCCTTCAGTATGATGTGTCTAATGCCACTCATTGTGATGTGCCTAATGCCACTCATTGTGATGTGTCTAATGCCATTCATTGTGATGTGTCTAATGCCACTCATTGTGATGTGTCTAATGCCATTCATTGTGATGTGCCTAATGCCATTCATTGTGATGTGCCTAATGCCACTCATTGTGATGTGTCTAATGTCATTCATTGTGATGTGTTTAATGCCACTCATTGTAATGTTCTAATACCATTCATTATGATGTGTCTAATGCCATTCATTGTAATGTGTCTAATGCCATTCATTGTGATGTGTCTAATGCCATTCATTGTGATGTGTCTAATACCTTTCATTGTGATGTGTCTAATGCCATTCATTGTAATGTGTCTAATGCCACTCATTGTGATGTGTCTAATGCCATTCATTGTGATGTGTCTAATGCCATTCATTGTGATGTGTCTAATGCCATTCATTGTGATGTGTCTAATGCCATTCATTGTGATGTGTCTAATGCCATTCATTGTGATGTGTCTAATGCCATTCATTGTGATGTGTCTAATGCCATTCATTGTGATGTGTCTAATGCCATTCATTGTGATGTGTCTAATGCCATTCATTGTGATGTGTCTAATGCCATTCATTGTGATGTGTCTAATGCCATTCATTGTGATGTGTCTAATGCCATTCATTGTGATGTGTCTAATGCCATTCATTGTGATGTGTCTAATGCCATTCATTGTGATGTGTCTAATGCCATTCATTGTGATGTGTCTAATGCCATTCATTGTGATGTGTCTAATGCCATTCATTGTGATGTGTCTAATGCCATTCATTGTGATGTGTCTAATGCCATTCATTGTGATGTGTCTAATGCCATTCATTGTGATGTGTCTAATGCCATTCATTGTGATGTGTCTAATGCCATTCATTGTGATGTGTCTAATGCCATTCATTGTGATGTGTCTAATGCCATTCATTGTGATGTGTCTAATGCCACTCATTGTGATGTGTCTAATGCCATTCATTGTGATGTGTCTAATGCCATTCATTGTAATGTGTCTAATGCCATTCATTGTAATGTGTCTAATGCCATTCATTGTGATGTGTCTAATGCCATTCATTGTGATGTGTCTAATGCCATTCATTGTTATGTGTCTAATGCCATTCATTGTGATGTGTCTAATGCCATTCATTGTGATGTGTCTAATGCCATTCATTGTGATGTGTCTAATGCCTTTCATTGTGATGTGTCTAATGCCATTCATTGTGATGTGTCTAATGCCATTCATTGTGATGTGTCTAATGCCATTCATTGTGATGTGTCTAATGCCATTCATTGTAATGTGTCTAATGCCATTCATTGTGATGTGTCTAAAGCCATTCATTGTGATGTGTCTAATGCCATTCATTGTGATATGTCTAATGCCATTCATTGTGATGTGTCTAATGCCATTCATTGTGATGTGTCTAATGCCATTCATTGTGATGTGTCTAATGCCATTCATTGTGATGTGTCTAATGCCATTCATTGTGATGTGTCTAATGCCATTCATTGTGATGTGTCTAATGCCACTCATTGTGATGTGTCTAATGTCATTCATTGTGATGTGTTTAATGCCACTCATTGTAATGTTCTAATACCATTCATTATGATGTGTCTAATGCCATTCATTGTAATGTGTCTAATGCCATTCATTGTGATGTGTCTAATGCCATTCATTGTGATGTGTCTAATACCTTTCATTGTGATGTGTCTAATGCCATTCATTGTAATGTGTCTAATGCCATTCATTGTAATGTGTCTAATGCCATTCATTGTGATGTGTCTAATGCCATTCATTGTGATGTGTCTAATGCCACTCATTGTGATGTGTCTAATGCCATTCATTGTAATGTGTCTAATACCATTCATTGTGATGTGTCTAATGCCTTTCATTGTGATGTGTCTAATGCCTTTCATTGTGATGTGTCTAATGCCATTCATTGTGATGTGTCTAATGCCTTTCATTGTGATGTGTCTAATGCCATTCATTGTGATGTGTCTAATGCCATTCATTGTGATGTGTCTAATGCCTTTATTGTGATGTGTCTATAATTCATCTTATTTCAGTCGAGGAAAGCAAGATGAACATATGGTTGATAATTGCCCCGATATTTGCATTTCTAAATTTGACCCCCAAGGTCAAGGTCAAGCCAACAACAGCAGCAACGTGACTAACATGTAAATACATTCGAGTCTTGAGTCTTACCTATGTCTATCTATCTATGTCTATTTGTATGTCTATTTGTCTATCGGTCTAAATCTATTTTCTATGCCTATCTGTTTATGTCTGTCTATGTCTATCCGTCTATGTCTATTGGTTTACGTCTCTCTGTCTATGTCTCTCTATGTCTATTTGTCTATGTGTATCTGTCTATGTGTATCTGTCTATGTGTATCTGTCTATGTGTATCTGTCTAAGTCTATCTGTCTATGTCTATTTCTTGATTGCATTACACCATTTCCTCCCAACGTTAAATAAAAGGCAATTAAAGAATCCCTAAAAACAAGTTTTTCGAATAAATCCTTTATAAAATGTAATATACAGCAAGGGAGGGTAGGGCAAACATTTGACACAAGTGGCGCACTTTTTAAGAGTCCACATTAGTGCTCCCCCTCCCCCATATTGCAAACTCACATTTTTCCACACCCCCGGGCTCCAGGTAAAGCTTGGATTTAAGGCGTCATCTGCCTTAAACTTTAAGATTATATATCAATACACATATTTAGCATTAGAATTGACTATGTTGGCATCCTATGAGATATGGAGCGGTTTCCACATCGCGCCCCCCCCCAACCCCCCTCCCCCCCCCATTCGCACGGCCCTGGACATGACAAAGAAATATTTTTAACATTTTTCATTTAAACTGCAACAGAATATCAAATATATCTTCTCCATCTGGTTACCTGCTTCATTCTATATCCACTGAACTGTGTTAAGTATTTTTTGTATCGTAATGTTTCGTCTTTCTAACTGACAGATACCACACCGTCACCAATGCAAGCAATGTTATAATTGGCAATGGAGGTTTGATCAGGAAATGATCCACACCATAAAGTCATGCCCTAAATGACCAGTACCGGCTCCCAGTGCATGTGCGAGGCTAGCGCTGCTCAGCCATAATAATTTTAAAGCAAAGCTAGTAGTTTGATCATTTATATTTGTGTTAGATGCCTTACAATTTATTTGAAATCTTGGGGTGAATTTCTTATCATTAATTCCTTGGACACCAAGCAATCTCTATATAACAATGTGATGCAACACTCATGTATGATGTTACAATATGAGAAAAGATGACGGGACCAAACTGCTGAAGATCATATTGTTTAGACCAGTGATTCTCGACGTGAGACTTATCGCCCCCAGGGTGGCACGACATGTTAGGGGTGGAGGCACAAATAAAAGCATAACGGATTTTATGTTAATCACGGGGAAGTTTTATAATGTCACTTCCAGGGGAAAAGAGGGGGGGGGGGGGGGGGGCATTGGGTAATTAAAATATTTAAAAGGGCCATGAGCAATGTTCCCTCTAAGGTTTGCAAAATTATACAGTTGTGTGCAAAGTTTTACAGCATCAATTTTTTTGTGTGCAAAATTTTACAGCCCACAAACACAAACTTACATGGAAATTTGCTGCGCGGATACTCAAAACTGCTGTGCGGCGTCTGTGAGATTGCTGCGTGGCCGCGCAGCTTAAAGGGAACGTTGGCCATGAGTAAACAAAAAAAAGAGTTTTTAAAAAAGGCGGACCACAGGGGTGGCCTAAGGCTGCCAGTAGCAAGTATATGCTGGTCACATTATCAGAAATATGTTTTAATGTATAATCGATTGTCTGATTACACTATGTCTGATTACACTATGTCTGATTACAATATGTCTGATTACAGTATGTCTGATATTATATGTGTGATCTATGCAAAGATATTTTTTCTTCAGTTTTTAAAAAAGGTAGCCACGACTAATGCTAATGATACATAGGAAATAACCGCCATGGAATTGCTATTCGAAATTCAATGTATGGTTTTTTTTGTGTATATCAGAAACTGCACCTAGCTTGTGTAAAATTGTCAAACGATATAATTTAATGATACATTGGTATTTAGTTAATTCGATATTATGTGTGTGTTTCTATTTCTTTACTTGCAGCAATAAACCACCACTATATATTTATATCATCTGGATGACATGTTCAATAGCTGAGCGATGTTTCACGTTAATGACTGTGGTTTCTTTGGAATGTAGATTAAATTAGCTTTGAAATGTATCATTAAGTCAGCTGAATCAACTCAGATTGGACCTTTTTTTAATAAAAATTTTAAATCGATCAAAATGTCGTTTTATGTTATGGGTTGTTTTATAAAATGATGTCAGTATGTCTCGGCCCCCAAAAGGTAGCTGTAACCAAGATGTCTTGGTTACATTTTGTTCAGACATCAAGGGTTGTACCTTTAAAGAAGCACATAATTTGTAAGTGGTCATTGAGTCCCAAAATATTGTTCAGAACCACTGGTGCAGATTAGCCTACGCTTGGTTTTTGATGTCCCTAATTTTTTTTCGGTTAGATGCCACAATTTATTGGGGGGGGGAACCACTCTTATTTCTTCCATGTAACATTTCGAATTCCTGACGAAAGAGGTAGAATGCATCATTGTAAGCAAAGAGTCGGCTTGGGAGTATGAAAGACACCACAGCAATGGAGGTTACGATAACATGGTCAACGTGAAATGCTTTTGTGCACGTCTCGGAAAAGCAACGATTTATAAAAATATTGTTTATTCACAATCATAAAAAGTACTGTAGTTTTTTTTCTTTTCTTTTACAGCGCATATTATTTTTCTCTGCCTATTATTATTTAAATACTGATGGTGAATAAATTTTTGATGTGTATTGTAGTGTATTATTATTATTATCCTTTGTAATATAAGATCCTTTGACTTTGTCAACAGTTGTGGAATAGTCCGCGGATACTGCATAATTTGACATTGTGTCCGTTAAAAATTCTGGCATCTAATTGTATTTCATGAAAATGATATTTAGATAACCTATCTGAACGTTATAATGTCACCTGCGCTCTATATAAGTAATATGAGATTACCTCGAGAGATTATCTTAAAAGATAAAAAACATACAGTTTAGTTTAAGGAAGCTGTCTATTGTGGAGAGCTTTAAATTAATATGAGTTTCTTAGACTATGATGTGGCTGACCAATGAAAAGTGATCATTGCAATGGATGCAGAAGCAGCTGCCGTTAAAGAATCTTCCATTGAACTCAAACGAATAATCTTTAGACTACATGCATCACAAACTAGTGCCTGTAACCTATCTTTACATGCTTAGGCTGCTTTAAGTATGAAAATGATTCCATCTTTAGATTTAGGGTGTGTATCCTCTATCTCCTAAAAACTGCTATTATAATTGACATGTTGAAAAATATTTTTCATTCTTCATTAAAAAAAATAATAATAAAATCATATGAAGACGAATTCTGTGTACCGGTACTTATGACTTAACTTAGTTTAACTGTTATTTTCAAAATTGAATTAAGATTTATATATAGAATGAAACAGATGCTTTTGTAAAATAAATTATAAAAAATATAAATCATGTCAAAATTTTGAAATTAATCATATTTTTAATTAATCTATCATATCTTTTCAATAATACAATTTTGACACCTTGATTTGAAATATTAAATCAGTGGTTCTCAAAGTGGATGTTACCTCCACCTAGAGGAAGATGGATCAATATATGTTACAGAACAATTTTTTGTTCATTTCTCAGCCAATCATACTAACTCATTTGACCTAAAGCCTTTATGTTTTTAAATACTTTAAAGTTTCATAAAGTTTTATTAAACTTTTTATTCTCACAAACACAGTTTAGAAGCAAAGATTTCAGCTATTTTTTTTTTTAACATTAAACTTTGTTCAAGCCAACTTCCAAGTCCTTTTAAAAGAGAAGATAAAGAGATGTTAAACGATAATAATCTTCAAGTATTTTGTGACCACTTTAGTGTGTTGTTACATAAAATGTATGTGCGATTTTAAGATATTCTTATGGCATGGCGCAACTTCCAGATTGTGTATTAAATCCATTTTCAGGTACTTAGGCAGTTTTGTGAGTGGAGGGAGATATCATTGTTGTGAAAGGATAGCTCATTGTTGTATATATAAACTATATATATATATTTTAAAAAATTGAGGTCTCAGATAACGACTATCATTAATTGTAATGATAAATTTGTTTGATAACAATAAAACTTTGAAAAAATGTTGCGGTATTCCTGGATCAAGTTAGTTTATTTTTAAATTCACTAAAAAAATTCAAAAAAGAAGCCATATTTATATTTTAATTGCTTTTTAAACTTTTTTTTTTTACATTTTATTTGGTATAATTTTCTTAATGGTCATGAAAGATGCTATCCTGATTAATTGTTTACAATCATATGTTTTAATTTTAGTTTTATTTTTATGGCAACAAGGGGTGTTGCCCAAAAAGTTTTGAGAGCCACTGGATTAACTGTTCGGTAACTGGAACTTAACTGTACATCAAGTTAAACTTGGGCAATATGACAAAATATAATGGGCTATCAGGAATGTAGTACCCGCGAACTGTCCGCCCGTTATCTTAGTCTTAGTGTAACTGGACAATATCCCAACATTCAAGAAAACATTCAATGCCTCTTCTGCCTTTGTGATTGTGCGCTTCAGCATTATAATAGTGTGTGCTTGGCCCACACTGCTACTATCCCTGAAGAATTTTAGAAATTCAATTACAAGACAAGGTACTAAGTACTAAATTCTATATTATATATATATATACTATCGAAGTGGCTATTCGGACCCGGATACCAAAACTGAGAGGTTGGGATTAAAAAATGTTTAAAATATTATTGTTGGGTTTGTAAGATAAAATTTGGTATAAAATGAAAGATAATTGAATGGACCTTATGTTTGCAAACTTAATTCTTTAGTTTAAATAAAATAAACTACCACACATGACATCCGAAAAGCATTTTTTTCAAAATGGATCTGGACACGCATCGCCGCTACCGGCTTAGATAAGAAACATAAACAAAAGAACCTTTTTATGTTTGGGGAGAGAAGAGCGTGAAAGTTGGTGGGGGGGGGGGGGGGGGGGGGGGGGGGGGGGGGGGGAGAGAGGCTACCACACCTTGGGAAAGTTCCCAAGATCTTGGGAATTCACGACCCCCATTGGGATCTGGGGAATAATTTTGAAAATCAGGCAAAACCTTGGGAAATCTTAACTGGGGTGAAGGTTTTATTATGTATTTAGAAAAGAAAAAAAACGCAAACAATATGTGATAAAAAATAAAGTTAAAATAAAGCAAAATAACTTTTAAAGTAAAAAGGAAAAGATTAATTGTTTTAATTACCTTTTCTGGTTTTAATTTTTAAAACCACTCATAAATAAATAGGGACACTTCTGAAATTAAAGCTAATATTGAGAATTATTGAAACGTTGAAAAAAAGTTAATTAGATTTATTAGACACCAACAATTTGTGTCAATACAACAATGTAATTTCAGCTTTAATAATAATTATACATAATGCACAAGTAAACGTTTCGGCACATGCCTTCATCAGTACAACAACAAAACATTTAAATAAGTATAAATTACATTTACATAATATATGCATATATCCTACCTAAAAAAAAATTTAAATAGGAAAGAGTGCAACAAACCCGACAAAACAAAGTAAAGAAGAGTGGAAAGCTTTACTTTGCTCTTGCTCATTGTAGCTATTTTGAGACCGAGACTTCTTTTTAAATTTACCTTCACTTTTGTCATTTAATTTAAACCCTGAAGTCATATCATGAACAAAAACAATAATTTTGCAGTGAATACTTATTTATTTAAACATATTTTACAACATAATACAACACAACAAATTACATTTCTCTAGCGCTAGTCTAGGATTTCAATTGGGGATATTTGGCTGTTGAACCAGGCATTGTTAAAACCTCCTTCTTATCTAATATGTGAACATGTGTTTGGTTTTAGAAACAGGACATTTAGGCGTCCCGAGAGACTTTTTCGGGATGCCGGGTACGATCGTGAAAAAAAAACGTTTTTACGGGACATTTGGTCACCATATACTACATAGAACAAGTTGACAGTATAGTGTTAGTGTTAAACAACACTATAGTAAAATTTGTAGGCCTACAACAACTCCAACACATTTACATGTATCGCTACTAATAATGCTAACTAAAACTACAACAGCAATGACAATGCTCTTGTACTATACTAAAACTACAACAGCAATGCCAATGCTCTTGTACTATACTAAAACTACAACAGCAATGCCAATGCTCTTGTACTATACTAAAACTACAACAGCAATGCCAATGCTCTTGTACTATACTAAAACTACAACAGCAATGCCCATGCTCTTGTACTATACTAAAACTTCAACAGCAATGCCAATGCTCTTGTACTATGT